GATACTTCTTATTTCCCTTTGAAATATGATTAGATTCAGTGGTTCACTTCTGAAGACTAGAAAGGTGAATGTGAAAACAACTTTATGTTGAAATCCTGATGAGTTCTACCTTAACCTTGTAACCAGAGCTAACTTCACCAGTGATGTCATATGAATGTCATGTCCCTATGTGTGATCTACCTGGTGGCATTGTTTCCTAAAACCTATAACCCCAAGCCAATCATGAGAAAAATCATCAGGCAAACCAAAAAGAATTCTGAGGATACTATGAAATATGCAGTGAGTACTCCTTTAAACTCTTTAAACTCCTTTAAACTGCGAATAACAAGAAAAGACTGAGAATTTTTCACAGGCCAGGAACACCAAGGTGATATGATAACTAAAAACAATGTATTCTGAATTAGGTGCTGGAAAATAATAGAAATTAGAAAAATAATACTAATAGAAAAGTGAATTGAAATTAACCCATTTATGCTGAAGATTGAAATTATTGAATTTTTGCATGAAAGTTATGTGTGCTACCTAGAAAAACTTAAGGATTAAGAATTTGAAGAAAACACATTTCATTCATTATGTTCCATTTTTTCAGGACATTCCAAAAATGGGTCACTAGGCATTGAAAGGCTAAAAATGGTATAGAGTTTACTTCACAACAATGTACCAATGTTGGGTTATTGTTTTTGCCAAGTATAACATGAAATTGTAAAATGATAGTGTTAGATGAAATGAAAACTGTGAAGGATAATTGAGAACTCTATGCTACCTTTATAACTTTTCTGTAAATCTTTTTTTTTTTTTGGTGATTCTGGGGATCGAACTCACGACCTCACACTTGCCAGGCAGGTGCCTATGCTGCTGAGCTAAATCCCCAGCCCCTCTGTAAATCTTAAAAACCAATAAGTTTATTTACAAAACAGTTCTGATGTTAAAATCTTCATTACTTAATTCACTCAACAAATAGCTATGGAAAACTTACAACCATATATCTAGTCATTGTTTAATAATGATCAACAAGTCAGGTGCTAGTCCTAGCTTCCCAGAGCCTACAGGTTTGTGTAGATAAAGCTAGTAGGAAGGGACTAAGCATGTGGCAGAGTGGTAGACCCCATAGGATACAACACCCCCAAAACAAAAGCAAAAACATCCTGCAAAAAATAATAGAGAAGTTTAAAACAATTTTGACAAGTGCTTTGCAAAGGGGCCAAAATTAAAACATCCCCCTCTCCTGATTTTGCAGCATAGCAAGCATATTAGTACATAGATAAACTCTATTGAATGTTTTTTCATATTAAATAATTCCTAAATGCTGAGCTATTGCTGGGTTTTTATTAAAGGAATTTGAAGATACTCTTTAGTTTATTATACTTTGTTTACCAAGTAGAAAGTGAAGGAATTTTTCTTCTTTCCTGTAAAAAAAGGAGTTAAAGTACAAACCTTTAAAATATCTTTCAGTTGTTAACAGTCAATGAGCTTTGTGAAATATGTTAAAACAGTAATAGAAGATTTACTTATTGATATATAAACACATATATCATGTTTTCCTCATTCATCAAGACTATTTCTTCAGTTTGTTTCAGGTAGAAAAGTATATTCTAAAGGAAGAAGATATTCTCATAGGATAAAAGAAAAAACATATATTGTTGAAGGCAGACAGTGTCTCTCAAAAGAATGACTTTATAAGATGGGAGAGCCCTGAAATGCAACCCCCTAAGTCACAAACACTGTTGCTTGGGAGGTCTGCACAGCCTACTTTAGCTCTCAAGAACCTCAGGAATGGATCCCTTAAAAGGAAATATATTTGCGCAGGTACAGTTTCTCACCGCAAAGAAATTCATTTCACTTTGAAAGAAGTTCTAGGATTAAAAGTAGAGACTGATTTGGAATGCTGGACCGTAGATATCCTGGGTCTCTCTTCACCTGAGAAGGATTTATAGTCTACAGCTGCATGTGGAGGTGGCTTTTTTGAGGAACTCGAACTTCTGTGCACTTCAACTGAAGAAGTTGGACCCGAAAAAATGAAACATTGTGACTGACCGCAACATCTGCTCCAAATGTTACAGGGAGTATGGAGGCAGAGGCTGGAGTCTAAAGCAAGAACAGAATGTTACAGAGTAGAAACTCATGAGAATGCACTGGGGAAGTGGGGAGAAAACAGCTTCTTCTCCCCATTTCCTCAAAGGGAAAGAGATAATAAAAAAGGAGTTACTGATGAAATAAGAACAAAAACGGAAAATAAAATCCAAACTCAGTGCAGCCCAAACCAAACAAAAATGCTTTTGAAAAACTGATACCACTGTTTAAAGAAACAAATTACCTCATTGTTTGGTTTTATGAGCCTCCTATTTTACCTTCCTAATACCAGTTTCTCTCTCTTCAGTTTGTTCTGCAAATTATTTTCTGAATAATTTTCTCAGTCTATGTTAGTGATAATACAACATTTATGAACAAAAACATGCAGTGACTGGTCATTGTCCCAGGAAGAGAATACAAACATTTCAATTTTGGTTCTTTAGGTAATTAGCTGATTATATGACTTTCCTGGACATTGTTTTATTTACCCATAAAATAATATTGATACATAAGAATTTATAAATTATCTCACAGCCTAGGGAAGATGATAAGTAATTTCTTAAATGGTTCAGATCTAGCATTTTACTGTACCAGTCAATCGTCTATCATTTTTATATTTTCTTTCTATCCATCATCAATTTCCAGCAGTAGTTGTTAGTACTTAGATTAGATATAAATATGGAATGTGAATTATTCCAGTTTCCAGTGCTTCTGTGGTTAATCTATACTAGTGGTTTGATTTTAGTTATCTTGACTGGAATATGCTACATGCATAAATCTCATGCACAAAGGAAAAGCCTCCATACTTTTACTATTTTTTAAAAGTCAATCTGGCAATTTTAAGATATTAGAATGTTTTTAATGCCTGCTGAATATTTTCAGGTGATCTAGTAAATAATTTATCTAATTTCGTACTCCTCCAAAATCTCTTGAGCAGATTCCTAATAACACACGCTTCTACTGTGTTTAACTGCAAAACGATTAGTTTTTCATGAGGTTTTTGCTTCCTCTGTTTACCACTAGCTTCAACATCCTTCTATTGATGTAAAATATGTGGAAACATCCTTTTTTTTTCTTTTTAATTTGATTCTGGAAGCCCTGGTAGAACAGTTAAGGAGATTCCTTAACGGAGTATGGGAAAGTCTTCTCTTTCAGTTTTGGTGGTACACACATTAAGTTGTTTCCTCTGTGGAGCCGGGAATTCACAAATAGGAACCTGTTGGAACTATGAACATTCCTGTCCTTCCTGTCTCTAAATTTCCTTGGAAAACTTTTTACATTACATAACTTTTACTGAGATGAGTGTGGACTCAATGTTTTCTGAGAACGTTTGTTAATGCTGAACTAAAAACAACCTACAAGCACTATTAATCCAATAACGTAAAAATCACTGCTTACAGAAATGGTGTCATCCCAGGGGAGACGGTTAACTGCTACATCAAACTGTCACTGAAAAAAGGGTATCAATATTCAATGAGTACCTACTATGTGCCAGGCATAGTGTATGGTATTTTATACTTTTTTCATATTTCATTTTATTTAATTCTCAGTGGAGTCATTTGGATAGGTAATTTTTTTCCCCAATCCAAATTATTAATGACATATAGATTGAGATTTAGGGAATTTTAATAACACATTCAATGCTATTATCTCCACTAAATTGTAAAACTTAGTTTTAAAACACTCGTGGGATGCAAAAGTCTATTTTCACTATATCACACTGTCTTCTTGCATTTTTATATTTTTTGAGTCTGGTTTCCTGGCTTATCGTACTAGCTCAGTAATCTTGATCTGTTTCAAAAGGATGAATGGACTAAAGAATGACTAATTGTAAAGTATGCTTACATTTACAGAGAACCTATAATTATTGAAAGCCATGTCTTTTATAGTTATCTTGTCAGATTTTTTTCTTTAAACAAACTGAGGCTAATATGTGCAGCTATCTGTGCCTTCTCTAATAGCTCAATTGATGGCGAGCACATGGCTTTGTAAGTACTTCCTCTCCTGATTCCCTCATTCTTTTCTGCTAGCTTCTTTGAAACTTAGATTTATGAGAATAGAAAGGCCAGATTGCTATCTTACTGAATTTAAAATAAGAATATGTAAATATCTTTTAAAAAATAAGAATATGTAAGACACAATGAGTAAAATGTTAAAGCTCTATAAAGAGCATCTCTGGATTTTATATAGGTTATATAGTCCTGCTTCAGAAGTGTAGATTTGTAGGCAATAAAGTGAAGAAAAAGTAGCGTTTATAATTATATATGTATGTGCAAGGCTGCAGCTTCACACCTAAATAAATATGTCAAAATGCTGCCTTCAGGGTCATCTGCAGATGAAGAGTTCCTATGGCAATTTCATTCCAGTGTAAGAATGATTTTTTCCTGTATCCACTGCTTCTTTAAAAATAAAAATATGTTCCTTCTATACTCAGAAGAATGCAATGCGTTTCATCCGTATTTTTAAAAGATACATTCTTTTCTAAAGCAGTTCTGCTGGGATGCGAGGGTGAGCCTGTTCTCAAAAGGAAACAGTTTTGTTTGTAAGGGAATTCAGCTTAAAAATGGAAGCAAGGCATTTGTCTCTCTGATGCTATGGCAACCAGAGGGAAAATGCAGAGTCCAACAATGGTATAAAAATGTGCCTCGAGAGTGGGAAAGAAGGAGGCAACCTTGGACTTCTTTTTTCCCCACTTCCGCTAGAACAGAAGGTTGCATTGTGTTTTTCTAGCTGACTTCATCGCTTTCCAGCCAGGCTGCTCGGATAGGAAAAGAGCAAACAGTAAAAATAACAAACTTTTCCTTATGATGTTTTGGGAGAAAAATCTTGGTTTCTTTTGTTTAGTTTCTGTGTTTTGCCCTCCTGTTGACATGTTCAACTTTTCTCATGTTCAGTGTGAAGTTTCTCAGTGTGCTGTATTTCCTTCTCAGGATTCCTTTTGGCTTGTCCTCCTTGAAGTTGCAGGCTTGGCTTGATCTCTTTTCTTTGGTAAGTTTCCTCCACATCTATAGAAGAACTCCTTCTACAAACCCTCTTTCTCACACTTCAAACCCTGTGATGTTTCTTGAGGTCTCCAACAGTTCATCTATCTGAAATCTATTTCTTTTGAAGTTTTTGAAACCTAATTTTATTCTTTCGGTAAATCAAATTCCCCTGAGTCACTGAAGATTGCTAAGAGTCTTCATTTTCAAATACAGTACTCTGATAATAAAGGTTGCCAAGATCTTCTTCCTTACTCTTCAGGTAAGTAGGGGTGCTGTCAAGTGTTCCGCAGTGGTTTGTATCATAGTCGTACCCTTTATAGGACAGCAACTTCAACACTGCATGGATTGTTAGCTTTGTGGCTAGATTTTACTTGAAGAGTCTGCAGTTTGGACCTACAAATTTTGGTCAAATTAGAAGCCATCAGCATACTGAGCAAGTGACCCTAGTTTTATACCTCACACCAGTGTGAGCAATTCCCAGTGGAACCTTGTGGTTGGGCATTTTTTCTAATTCAAATGATTAGAGATAAGGGTAAAAATATTATTTTAAAATGTAAACAATGTATTATTTTAAATTAATACAGTACAAAGAAAAGAAATTGAGGTGGAAGGCCTTTAGAATAACTAGAAAAGTAATTTTAAAGAAATACTGGTCTTCAGTTTGGTAGTCTGCCTTCAGTGGAAGTCCTGTGTGGCAGTGGGAGGCTCTCTGGTGTTAGGAGCTTCTAACTGATCTGAGAGGCTAGTCATTCCAGAAAACGGATGCCATAGTATCGTTCCTAAGAGCATGACCCAGCCAAGAAGCATGGAGATTTTGTAGTCATGAAAAAGATAAATATAGAAGATTGGAGGGCTCATCTCAATTCATGTTTTTTTCCCAGAGCATCCATCAGCAAATGTTGCCTTAAATAAAATGTAATAATTCTAGCTGTGGGTCAAAACAGATGGTTTCAATATTGAGATTCCATTTCGCTCCAGAAAGAATGGTTATCATCAAGAAATCAACTAATAACAAATGCTGGCTGTGGGGGAAAAGGAATCCTTCTCCCCTGCTGGTGAGAGTACAGACTGGTGCAACCACTGTGGAAATCAGTGTGGAGATTCCTAAAAAACTAGGATTGGAGGTTCCATTTAACCCAATTATTCTCCTTCTGGGTATCTTCCTAGAATTAAAAACATCATACCACAGTGATTTATGTGCACCTATGTTTATAGCCCCAGAATTTTAACAGCTGAAACAAATACCCCCATCAACCTAGGAGTGGATAAAGACAGTGTGGTCTTTTTATGCAATGGAGTACTATTTAGCCATAAAGAAGATAAACTTGAGACTTTTATGGGTAACGAGATACAATTTGAGACATATTCATAAGTGAAATAAATCAGGCTCACATGTGTAACATCGTATTGTTTCCCTGGTGTGAGAAACTCAAAGAGTAAATAAGGTCTAAAATGTGCAATACATGTTGCAAAATGAGAAGAAATTATTTAAAAGGAAAAAGGAACTAGGATGGGGGAAAAGGAAAATGAAGGAAGATAAAAATGAGAAAAAGTGCAAGTAGTTATATTATTAGTAATGTCTTAGTTCCTAGAAAAGGAAGTTAATATTGATTGGGGAATTTTTTATGCCCAGATTGTATATGCTGAGAAACAACTTTAAAGATAACAGTATGCAATATGTTAACTATTATTATTTTATTATTTTAAAATGGAAAAATAAAAACAATGATACATAATTTCAAAACAATAATAAATTAACAATGGTTAATGTATTGCATATTGGTATCTTCAAAGTAGTTGTTTAGATCACAAGATATGGGCATGAAAAAATAATGTAAGCACAAACCATTTTAAAATTAAATTAAATTATTTATTTTTATTTTTTTAGAACACCTCAGCAAAATAAAATTCTGGTTTGTTGTTGGACAACACTGTTTCACACATACATCAAACAGGCCAAAACAGAAAAAAAAAAAAAAAAAAAATCAAAGTAAAACAAAACAACCAAAAAACCAAAAAACCAACAGCAACTTCATAGATTAAAAAAAAAAAAAGGAAAAAAAGAAATCTTTTCTCGTTGGCCTTTTTAACCATCTCATGCAAACCAATTACTCATAGTACGGCTAAGTACATACACAAAAAAAGTTACTGGAATGCTCAGAATAAGATTGTTTTGTTTTTGCTTTTTAAACAAGGTTTTCTTTCTCCTTTGAGGTTGTAGTGAACACGGTCACACTGGTCACACCACTGGAAGGAGGACAGAGAAGGCTGCGAAGGCCGGTTGGGTCATCCTCATCATCAAAACCGGCTGACCCCAACAATATGTACAAAAATATAAAGTGTAAATAAAAACAAACAAATATTCCTTTCTAAAGTACTTTTAAGAAAAAAAGCAGGGCCTTGGAAGTTGTGGTTGTTTTTTCCTCCCTGTTGCAAATTCTCCTGGAGGGCTCCCCGGGTGGTGCAGAGTGGTGTCCTCGGCAGGGGTCGCTGTCCGTGGAGGGCGGGGTGGGGGCGGGGTGGAGGGGGGGCGGGGGCGGGCCTCTCCCAAGTGAAGGTGACCAGGTTTAGAGCCTAGATGGGAAGTGGAGACTGAATAGGTCACGGTGGCCTTTTTATAATTTTTCCTGTTTGCTGTCTAGTCATCCTGCCAATCTTCTGCTTCTTGGTGTCCACCTGGTCATCCTTATTATCTTCAGCTTCCCGGTTGCTCGTAGCTGCCTCTGCCTCCTCCTCCTCCTCTTCATCTCTGTTCTCCTCCTCCTCCCTGGCTTCCTCCTCCTCCTCCTCTACCTCATTGCAGGCCCTCATTTGCCATTCTCCTCGCTCCTGTTCCCGTTGACGGGTGTCGCGCCCATTCTCCGCCTCCTCCACCATCTTCAGGTCCTCGGTGGTGATCTGGGAGCTGGTGTCCAAGCCACGTCTGACCTGGTGAGACATCCTGGTGGATCAGTGCACTGAGTGAGCAGGAAAGCGAGAGTTGGGGGGGCTCTGGCAAGGGAGCTGGTCAGGGAACAGTGCAAAGATGGCTTTTTCAGTAGCCAATGGGGTTCTTTTTGATAGAACTGTGGGGGAAGGAGGAGGAGGACTGGCGTTTGGATGAAAAGATAAAAAGTATGAAATATAAATGACCTTTATTTTGAGAATGCGGGAGAGACACCCCTGACCCCTGGGGCTCGCCATCTCCAGCCCTTGTCCGAGATCTCTCCGTGGAATACACGGAGTGAGGCACAGAAGTAGCCTAGGTTTGGGGTGGAACCTAAGGGGGCATTAGGGATGCACAGGTAGCCCACTGGTCTTTGTTTGGCACCACAGGTAGATTCCTAGGGGAGGGGAAGATAGGAGCTCCTTGGCTTTACCGGCTACAGTGTCCTGTCTGGGCCAAAACCCTTTCCCTTGTTATTTTTTAAAGGGAATAAAACAGAACAATACAATGAAACAAAACAGTGAGAGCTGATAGTGGATTTTAAAAATAAGACAGTAGGGAATCTACCATAGCTGTTATGTTGTATGTTGTTATCCTCTAAGTAGTTGCTCAGAATACTGGCTTTAGGGTTGCAAAGTCAATCAAACAATACAAGCTTTAGGTTGCTTGTTTACTTCAGTTGCTATAATCTCAGCCTGTATTCCTGCAAGTCAGCCTATTGTTTATGAAAGAGCTGGGGGAGAGTTCTCTCCATCCTGGTTCTCCTCCCAGCCTGTCTGGCCTCCATTGGTTCATAGGAGAACCAATGGATGTTTCTTCTCAAATCATTCTTTTGGATGAACTAACAGAGTAGTAGTATGATTATCTTTCTTGCATATTTTCTTTCTTTTCTCCTTTCCCCTATCCCAATTGTTCTTTCATTTAGAGTAGTTTCTTATCTTTTGACTTTCACAGTATCTATTGTACATTTTGGATCTTATTTAGTCTTTCAGTTTTTTACACTAGGGAAACAATATGAAGTTTGCACATATAAATCTGATTTATTTCACTTATGAATATGGTCTCAAATTTGTACCCTGTTACCTATAAAATCCTGGAGTTTATTTTCCTTTATAGCTGAGTGGTACTCCATTGTACAAAAATTCCATGTTTTTTTTATCCATTCTACAGTTGGAGGGCATTTGGGTTGTTTCCAAGATTAACTATTAGAAATTAAGCTGTTGCAAGCATGGGTGCACATGTATCACTGTGGTATGGTGTTTTCAGTTCTTCTAGGAAAATACCCAGAAAGGGAATAGTTGGATTGAATGGAGCCTCCAATCCTAGTTTTTAAAATTTTTTAAATTATTTTTTTATTTTAAAGAGAATAAAACCAAACAAATTAAGACAGAATAAAGCCAATAAAAACAAAATGATGAAAGTGAGAACTTCAAAACAAGATAAAAGGAAGTCAACAATGGCTACCATAACATATCTTGTTATTTTCAAAATAGCTGCCCGTGCCACCAGGCACAATAAAATCAAACAAAACAAAATGTAATAAAACCAAACCAAGCAAAACAATGAAAATGATACAGGACTTCAAAACAATATAGTGGGAAATTAGCAATGGCTACCACTTCCCCTTTTAGATGCTTCCTCCCCTTTCACTTTCACATTATCTACTGTACATTTTGGATCCCACTAACTCCTTCAGTTTTTATACTAGGGAGACAGCATGATGTTCATCCATGTGAGTCCGAATCATTTCATGCCTGCGTATGATCACAAATTGCATTCACTTACCTACAAGAGTCTCGCGATTATCTTTCTTTATAACTGAGCAGCTTTCCATTGTATCAAAATACCATGTCTTTCACATCCATTCTGCAGTTGATGGGTAAGTTACCCTGCTTTTTTCTGGGTCCCTGCTGAATGTAGGATCATTTTTTCTCCTCTGCTCCTCAGTCCATTAATTTTATTTAAGGCAAATATGTTTCTTGTATACAGTATATTGATGGATGCTCTTTCCCATTCCACTCTGCCTGTGTTTCTTTTTATTGGTGAATTGAGGTAATTTACACTAGTAGTTATTACTGACATGCGCTGGCTCATCTCTGTCACGCTACCTTTTTACTGCTGGCCTCCAGCTTTTCCCTTCCATTCAGTTACCTGCTCAGGTTGGTGCTCTCTCTCTGCTGCTGTCATGGTCATCTTTATCTCTCTCTAGAATATCCTCCAGCACTTTTTTAGAGTTGGTTTTGTGGTCATGAATTCCTTCAGTTGTTCTTTATGTTTCCATCTTTTTCTAAGTTCATCTATTTTGTTTGTGTCTTCTTGATTGTCTTTGATTTTAAGCATCATTTCTTTTTGCACCTGAGAGATCATTTTTCACTTGTTTTTTTCACTTCCATTGTTATAATTTCAGAAAATTCCAGTGTTTGCCTTCCAACTTCATCCATCTCACTGAGTTCCAGGCCTGTCCCGGGTGCCCAGAGGTCTGGGGCTGCACCACGCCTCTGTGTCTTGCCATTCTCAACCTTCTCTTTTTTCTTATTTTGTCTTCTATGTTGATGCCCACAAGCCTCCCATGATATGCAGCTCTGCCACTAGCACTGAGACCTCTCTCATGGAGGAAAGGAGATGTCCATTCCTCAGGGATGTCCTCCAGATGGAGTTGGCTCTTTATAGCTATCCTAAGAACCTATCTTCTGGTTTACAGTTCTGTGATAGTGTCAGTGTTACAACCCAGAGATGTGCTGGGTATGGAGCTGATCTTGGCCTCTGGATGTATGGGCTGCGACTGATGTTCTGTGGGTGGAGTTCTGCAGAGTCTAACTGCTGTCTCCTCACTGCTGCTTCAGATACTTACACATTTCTGGTCTCGCTGATTACTTTGCCCTCCAAAGGTGCGTGTGTGTGTGTGTGTGTGTGTGTGTGCGCGCGCGCGCGCGTGCAGGGCTATTGTTCTGGGTCGTCTTGTTTCTGTTTGTCTTACACTCTGCTATTGGTGGGGAGGGTAATGGAAGAGGCCGGGAGTGTAAACTCTAATTTCCACAGTGGTTGCACCAGCCTACACACCCACCAGTACTGGTGAAGGTTCCTTTTCTTCCACAGCCCCATTAGCATTTGTTACTGGTTGATTTCTTGATGATAACTATTCTTTCTGGAGTGATATGGAATCTCAATGAAGTTTTAATTTGCATCTCTTGAATGACCATTAATTCTTCTATTATCTTGTTATGAAATTTTGTTTTACCTCTTTTTCATAAAACAAAGCAAAACAAAACAAAACAAAAACCTCCTAAAACTGATTGTTTGTTTCATGGTCAGTTGAAAATATCTTCATTTCTTTAACATGTTTTTGCAGCCTATCAATTTTCACTTGTCTTGAATTACCTTCTGTAAAAAATTAATTCTCACACTATAGGACATAATAATAAAGCATATTAATTTCTTAACTTCCTAAATTTAGAATCTAATAGGAAAACAAAATAGTAGATGAAGTCAAATTTAACTAAACAAACAAGCAAACAAAAATGGGGGCTACTTCAGTCCTGAGTCAGGTAACAACCTGATCCAGGGGAGTTTGTGTGGAAGTACCACTTGCAAGGTATTTTGTTTGAAAAATTTATTGACATATATTATCTCAACTGACCTTTACTGGAAATACAACCAGGCTATCAAGTCTAGTATTAGTAATGGTCAGTGTTAGATACTTCAGGAGTTTTTTTTAGCAGCCTGAGAGAATCCAGTAAAACATTCTACTGTCTATATTAAACATTGCACCTTTCTAGGACTTAGTGCAGGTAACAAATGCTTGTGAGGGAAACACAATGTAGGTGTTCCCAAACAAAACGTGATCCCCATGGAGTCTGCTCCTCTGAATCTGAAGACAGTATTCGTGAACTGTCCCAGATTACATGATTTTGGGATTAACCCATGGTTTTGTTGAAACAGTGCTAGGCTTGATATAAAAAGAATCATTTAACAAGCCATTACCTTTTTCTTGTTGATGAAAGAGAAACAAAATACGAAGCTATATAGCCTGAAACTGAAATAATTTCATTTGTTAAAGTGATCTGTAAATGCACTTACTTTCCCACAACACACATGTGCATTTCGTACATTGTCTGGTCTTCAATAAATGTCAATAAGATATAATAACAATAAATGATAGTTTATACATGGTCTTATTATTTTTTTCATTTTCTTTCATTAGTCTTGAGTTTTGATTTCAATTTCACTTTTGTCTGCTAAGTAATTCTACCTGTGTTCTCAGTTGTGATAGACTAGATATGGAATAATATAATTTGAATGGGTAGATGGAGATATAAAGGCTTGCAGGGGCACTCTTTATTTGCTTCTGAGGTGATGTTAGTATTCTCCATTTCAGAGGAACAAAAATTTATTGATTTTCCTTTGTAATAAAAATAGTGGTATTGGTTAATCAATTTAATAAAATAATCATTATTATTTTTTCTTTTCTTTTCTTGATAGATTTTCTTGTGTAGTCCTTAAAAAGAGAGACAATCATACATCTCCACATGACTCTGAGCTTGACAGTCGGCCCTTGCAGGACATTTGGAGGTGAAGCAGTAGCTGTCCTTTCCTCTCTCAGAAGGTCTGTAAAAATCGCTGGGCCCTGTTTCTGGTTGTCTCTGCTGGTTCACCTTGTTGGTATGGAGCAGCAGCTAAAACTGTAACTCCTTCAGCTGCTGCTAATTCCTTCTGTAGCTTCTCCCATTCCTGGGCCAGATTTTCATGTAAGTATATGATAGAGAATGCCAGCTTCTCCTGTAGGAACCCACAGCAGTTAGATCTGAAGCCTATAAATTGTAATAGAACAAAGTGGCTTATTGTTTTCCTTTGGGCTCTAGCTCATCCTCCCTGAGTACATTTCAGAGCCTTTTTTCCCTCCTGATTCACATCTATCTTCCCCTCCCAAATACTTGTCCTGACCTCAGGATTCAAGGCACAGCCCAGAAGCAGTAGTCAAATAGAAATCATTTCATCACTCACTCAATTGTGCAAG